AAATATGCTAAATGCCTGACACCTGGAAATACCCTGTAAGCAAATGTTGACATTATTCTCTAGCCGTGGGTGCTCTACTAAAAGATACCCTGTTCGAAGGTTTCAGTAAGGAACTATGTCAACTATGAAAAAGAATATGATATATGCAGGTTGTCTCGGAATACTCTGTATTTATAAAAAAGTAGCAAATATGTTGACTTAATGGGCAAAGCGAGACTGAAACATACCCTGTACGATAGGTTTGGTAAAAAAAATAAATAGTTTGAAGAAGATATATGTATATATATAAATCATCTGGGAATACCCTGTACCAATAACAAAAAATGTTGATATAATACTTAAGGCGACTGATACATACCCTGTACGAAAGCCATATGACCAGCTATGTTGAATTGATGATTATGATGTATGAGAGCTACACCCTGCACCTTTAAAGAAGAAAACAAAATTTTAATTAAAAGAGATTTTACAAGAAACTTCTGGGTTTAATCCGATTCCTTTGAGGAATCCAGTATAGAATATTAAAGTTGACAACTGCAAGTTATAGAAAATGAAACTGTGATCAAAATGATCAATTAATACTAAAAGGAGCTTTGGCGTTGGTAACTACCAAGTTCCAATGCCATATATATTTTATTTTATGGGGCACAGGGTATTGAAAAGGAAGAAATCGGAATAATATATTTATTTTTGCCTTAAAGGGCGGTATCCGCCTCTTTCTGCGAGTAACAGCCGTTTTTACGGTCTACAGGGTATAAGAAACAACAACAAAAAACAAGCAAACATACACAGAACGCAGCCAGAGCAAAGCCTGCAAAGCAACTGGCAACAGGCAACCAGGCAACTGGCAACATGTGGCAGAACAACAATTTATGATGTTGCCGCTGACAGGCGAATGTTGTTTGCAGTTGTTGATGACGATGATGATTCCAAGGATGCGACGAACGGGACGACGACGACGACGACGTCGACGGGACAGCTATTGATTTGGCCTGGCCGGGGCCAAACTTGAACATCCCCAACTCTGCCAGCCGACGGCCAGCTCCCCGCTGGAGATGTTTTTTCTTTGGCTGTGCGATAGATTTTGCATATTACTTGCATGATGGATTCCGTTTGGTCGTTTTGTGTGGGCCCGAACAGCGCCTCATTGGAGCTGGCCAAGATTCCAAATGTCGTCAGAGAGTTCGATCTCAGATGCGCTGCCCAAATATTGTTGTGGATAGCTGCTGTATGATGCATAAATCCAGCCGAGCGCAATTGTGTCTATTGCCATTACCATTACCTGATTTGTTTGGATAGACCCCTACCCCAGGCCTAGAGGGAGGGAGGGGGCTTCGACTTAAACTCGGCGTGTGGGTGGCGTCGATCAACGATCGCCGATCAACTGGCACACATTGAGATATACTCGCATATATATATACACATATATATGTGTATATATATCTCATGTGCTTTGCTTTTCAAGTGCCTGTCAGAGTGTCGCTCGTGTTGCCATAGTTGTTGTTGTTGTCGTTGTTGTTGCTCTGTGTGCGACTCATTCATTTCAAAGTGCAAATGCAAGCCGACAGCTAAGCGACGTCATTTAGAGTTTTGACAAGCGGCGCAGCACAGCAAATGCTGGCCAAATGCTTAAATGGACGCCCTCAAATTGCGCCGACGACTAACACGGAGCTGGCTTGAGAGCTTGTGCCACCAACGTGCATTCCAGCTAAAAGCCAACAGCAACAACAACAACAACAACAAGTGCGCATAATTACAGAGGCAAACACACGACTAGCAGATACTCTGTAAGCAGTCTGATACAAATAGTGGAGGATTCGCATGTGTCAAGTATGATTAAATACATATATATTTTTAAGAGGCACTTTAGAAAAGTTCTTGAGCGTATAGGTTATATAGCTTTTTCAGCCTAGCCAGATTACCAAAAGCTTTTGGGATGTTTATAGAGGCAATTTTAATAGTACCCATTTAAGCCTTCAAAAGGCAGCTTGGAAGAAGTATTTTCGAGTATGTATTAAATGAAATCATTATGAATCTTTATATGAAAGACATCGGGTAGCCTGCATACAACTGCTTGGTTTCTTTTACAAGGGTATAAGCTGTTTTTAGAGATTTAAAATTTGGTAACTCCAGCTCGGCAATGATATACATAGACTAGTTTGCAGGGGCGCAAGTGGGCGGGGCTTACAAACATATTGGCCTTAGCCCGCAAGAAAATCATTTGTTACTAAATATATATTCTTATTTAATTACAAATATATCATGTATGTAAGTCATAGCTTTAGCTTTCAAATGGTGACAGCTATAGATTTTTGTCCGTTTATATAGGGAAACATTTGATCACATCTTGCCAGAGGATTATCTGTAGTTCTTATGTGTACGAAACTTAGATGAAAAACTGCGAGAAACTAAAGGGAGATGGGAGATGTTTTACTATACTTTGTCATAATATAATTTATCTAATCTTAGTGCAGAGAATTTATGACAAAGTATTTATGGATGTAAGATCATATATATATTAGAGTTCAAAATGTTGGACCCGTTTGTATGAAACTTTTTAGTTAACCATCCGATCAGCCTTAAACTGATTTTCAGAAATATTTATTCGTTGACTTGAGGGATGTTTCAAACTGTTCACAAAAAACATTTCTCTTTAATATAAATGAGGGTCCTGAATTTAATGGCCGAAGTCTTGGGGCTCAAATTTATTAATTTATATTTTAACTGATTCACATTTTACTTTTTACTGATTAAAGAGAGCGTGGCATATAATTCTAGGCAGTCGGAACCGCAAATGCCTCTGCTGTTGCCCTTTCGGAACAGGGTATAATAACAACAACAGAGAGACAATAACAACAACAAGAAGAACAACAACGACAACAACAACAAACACTGACGATGGCACGCACATTTCGTGTACGATTCCCAGACAAATTGCAGAATTGGCGAATGCTTGAGAATTCTGCGGAATCGGAATCTACACTATGGGATCTATGGTGGTCCTTTTGGCCACAAGCCGAGCTGAGGCTAGAAGTTGCTATGAAGTTAAAAGATTGTCGCTCGTTTGGGCTGGGCTTAGGCTCAGGCTCAGGCTCAGGCTTGGGCTCAGGCTGCTGTGGCTGTTTTTTTTTATTGTTTTATTTTTGTTGGGGGCGCCAAATTCGCACATGTTGCGTAAGAAACAAAGTTGCTGTTAATGCGCATTGTTGTTATTGTTGTTGTTGTTGTTGCGCCCAATTTGGGCTGCGAGCACTCCAAGCAGCAACAGCAGCAACAAACAATAACAGCAAGAGCAACAGGGGCGGGCAAGGGGTCCCAGGGGGATGGGGCGGGGTGCAGAGCTCAGCATACCAAACACTCAACGCCAAAGCGCACTCCACTCGACCACTTCACTGCACTCGGCGGCAAACATAGCCTAACAACAACAGCAACAACAACAACAACAAAGTGAACTTGTACACAGGTGAGCGCTGGCCTGGGAGCGCGCATAGCCAGCGGAGAGCGCTCAAACCGGTTTATGCTCGCATGTGCTCTCTATTACTCGCTGGCTCTCCCTCTCTCTCTCTCTCTCTCTTACTAACACCCTTTTGCTCTTTTTTTTGTGCAGCTAATTTACATGCCGCAGCCGCTGCCCCAGCCTGAGCCTGAGCCTGGTTCTTGTGGGCAGCACTTGGCGAGGCGTTGGATGCATTGCTGGACTTGACTTTTATGCTTTTATTGAGACACGAATTTAAGCACGAATTCAAGCACGAACTATCGCCAACAGAGTGCGTGTGGGTGCTCAGCAGTGAGAGCGAGAGATTGCATATGAGAGAGCGCGGCTGAGCATAGAATTGCCGCTCTCTCCGACTGCTATTGCTGCTGCTGCTATGGTGCTTTTTAGCTAATTGTGGACCTGTCGTCGCTGGCTTCTTAGCTGTTCTTGTTGTTGTTGTGTGTGGTGTGTTGCTGCCTTTTAAAATTCTTGTCTTGCACCGCTGCTGCTGCTGGTTCTGCAGCCAATGCTGTCTCCGTTTTGGCATTCATATGCAATTGCCATGTTGCAGGCCAAGAAACTACCGCGTGCTGTGCAGACCGCACCAAGATGCTGAGCGGGCACCAGGGCTCCAGCCTGTGGTTCAATGTGGCCAAAAGAAACCGACCAAACAACTTTTGGTGAGTTGCCAGACGCCAACACACCACGCACACACCAAACACACCATGCAAACAAGCTAGCTCTCCCTCTCTCTCACTCACTCACTCACTCACCACGCTTGCCGCATGCACTTGACCACAGGTGAGTTGCGGGCATCGCCGCGAAGAGAGCCACCGCTGAGAATTCAGTCTGTCGTTTGTTTTCGTCGCAGAAACATTGAGCAATTGCAGCGAACGGATTAACGCAACTCTCGTCGCAGTTGTCGCCGTCGCCGTTGTTGTCGTCGTCGTCGTGCTCGCAACAACACAACTTCAAGAATCCGTTTATCGGTATTAGAAACGATATCGATAGCTCGATATCGAAGTGCAAGTGTAGACAAGTGCCAACTAGCGTTAACTGCGGCACAAAACAAGTGCTAACGAAATTTCTATTCTTTGAGCAAATCCAAGCATTAATTCTAAGCCCCAGAAGGCGTCTCTGCTGCAGCCTATCCGCCCCTCGTTAACCGACCCCCACCCAACTCCCATCTGTTGGCGTTTGTCGCCGCGTTTTTATTTTGTTTTCGTCGCGGTTCCGTCTTCGTCGTCGTCGTCGTCGTCGTCGCCGTATTCGTCTTTCGCCGTGCAGCAAAAATGTAAAAAAAAGAGTTGCAAACACAAAAAAAAAAATAAACGGAATCTGAATTCAAGTCTTTGACTGAGTTTGAGAAAACTTCGGAGTGGGCTGCGAGTCAATAAATGCCGAATGTTAAGAAAATTGCAATATTTGCATTTTAATTAAATCGCAAGAATTTCCGTGTGTGCACGCGTTTATGTGTGTATGTGATTGTGTGTGCGTGTGTGTTTGTGCACCCTACAACAAAATACACACACCAAAAATATATAATCAAAAGAAAAAAATACAAAAAGAAATAAACCAGAAAAAGGCGAAAAGAAATATTGTTCAACAAGTCAAACGAGTTCTTTTGGCTCGCTTTGGCCGTGTGGCCAGCAGCAGCAGCAGCTACAACAACAACAACAACAACAACAACATCAGCAACAACAACATCAGCAACAACAACAAATCGACTCAACATCGCATTTGGTGGCAGTGGCAGGCAGCAAGTTTTGTTGTTTGCGCCTTTGGTGAAAAATATTGACAGCATTTAGCCACAAAATGTAAGAAAAACACAGTATAAAAGAGAATAAAAAGGATAAATAATACATAAGGACACATGTGACATTTTTGAAGGCGAAATTATTCTAAAGCTCCAACAGCTTCACTTGCTGCCCAAATCGTTATGGTTGTACAGATAATTCATGTTATGCCCAACTACAGCAAGGAATAAATTAGGAAAAATGTATAAAAATAGTCTTGTTGCGCCGTACTGGGAAAATTATTCTTAGCACTTATCATATTATTCAAAGAAATCGTCAGAGTACGCAATGTACTCATAAAAATATGCATAGTGCGCATTGCACTCAAAAGAACGCATAGTACCCATCGAAGTAGGCACTCCACTCATAGAAGTACGCATTGTACTCATCACAGTCGGGAAAGTTCTCAAATTTCGCGCAGAAATATACGCAAAATTCACGTTAAACATAATTTTCAAAGTACGCATAATACTTGTCGATGCAGACAAATGTACTCGTAGTACTTATAGAAATACACATTGTATTCATAACTGTTGGCAAAGTACTCATAGTAGTCATCAACATACGCATTGTGCCAACGTTATACTCAGTGTACTCATCAGAGTACGCATTGTATTTTAAATAAACAGGCATGGTACTCATCAGATTTGTTTGATTAGTTAGCGTAACTTACGCAGCCTAATTAGATGTTCAATAAAGTAAAAGGTAGCAACAACTACAACAACAAATGCGTCGGCAGCTGCAGCAGCAAGGAAAACAACTTGAAATAGTCAAATTGGTAATCGAATTTGACTTGTTAAATGTTCAGAGCCACGGTAGACACAAAATGTACACAAAATGAAAAGGTAGAAAAGCAAAACACACACAGTTACCGCTGCTTCGTTACATGCATCTGTTTCCTCTTCTTCTTTTGCTCTTTCCCAAACGTTTTTTTTTACTTTGCCGCTTTGTCTTTTGTTCCAAAAAAAAAAAAAAAGATGCGTGAGGAAAATGTGAAAAACCAACAAGGTTGTGCTCTTTGATTTTCGTATTGAAAAATTCGAGTTTTCGTTCGTTTTGTTTTACCTGTTCAAAAAGAAATATCGGTGCGTAAATCTCTCAATTGGCCATTTGAACTGTGAGCTATCGTTATCTATGCGAGCAATACGTGAGCTGCCTGCGCAAAGTGTCGCCAAACGTGCGGATTCCTAGAAAATTGACAGCTAGAGACCTGCAAGTATTTCCAAACGCCCAACAGCTAATTCTATTTAGGGCTTACTTTTTGGGTCTTTTTTCGGGGCGTAATAAAAATCACAAACAAAAAAAGAATGCAGGAAGTGTTGACGTCGTGCTCGGATTTCTTAATGCCTGTTGCCATTAAAGTGCATTAAATTTTCCACCGAAAATTATATGAAATTATTACAAAAAGTCGGCCAGAAGCCGAGTGTGTGTGTGTGTGGTGTGCGCAGGCATTTATAAACCAATTTTCGTGCTGCTGTTAAAAGCCAAAATAGCTTGACATTAAGGCAAGCTAAGAGGCTAACTGAAAAACAAAATTTGGGCTAACAATGGGCTGCAGCGAGTCGCGGGGTTTTCTGTATTTTTATGGCCCTTAATTTACACTTCCTTCCAATGCGCTGCGTAGAGCAAGAGCGAGTGAGAATGCGAGAGAGCGATGGAGAGAGAAACAAAAGATCGCCCAGTTCTCTAGTTTGTCGGCGGCGACCAAAGGCAAAGGCGCAAGCGGCAGCAAAAGCGAACAAAATATAATTTTCATTTCCCATTTTCATTCCATGCTTCTCACAGCAAAACGCTCGCCGCTGCGGCTGCTGCTGCTGCGGCTGCTGCTCTGCATATTTTTGCCTTATCAGCGCCGGCGGCGGCGGCGGCGGCACTTGGATGGCAGCTAACGGTCGAGACTCGCGCGACCGTTTCGTTTTTCCCCATTTTCTTTTTATCTTTATGCGCCGGTGCGTCAGATGCGGGTGATTGCGATTGCTGTGACGTATGCGGCGCGACATAACGAAAGACTTAGGCAACGAACTTGCAAAACGCAATTTAATGCGCTTTAAATTGCCGAAGACGTCGACCGTTCACCGTTCACCGTTCCCCCTGTCTAATTGCTGCAATGCTTAGCGCTATACAAACAAAAATTACGCTTTAATCTATTTTTGCCCGGCCCCATACACACACACACACACACACACACAGGCACGCACAACAGGCATCAGGCCAGCAGCTGCCCCTTTTTCGCGGACCACACGCGCGTCTCGTGCGCCGTGCCAAGAAAATTACATTAGACGTGGAAACGTTTCAGCTTTGCTCTTCGGTAAAAGCAACGCACCAAGCTCCATGCAATATACAAACCACCCCCTCTGCTGCCCCCCCACCTTACATATACAATGCCTAGGCCATGGCCACCTGCTCCTGGCTGCTGCAAGCGCAGGCCCACAACTAAACACCCGCCCGGCTCTTGCCCTCAGATCAGCGCTAATTTCTTTGTTGAGTCTCATGCGAGTTGGCACCGCGGACATACGAATGTGCTAGCCTGTGATTAAGTTTGGAATATGTTCATCGTTTTGTGCAAGTGTCTTCATCCGCCACAATCCACAGCGAGAGAGAGAGATTGCGGCCCGGCTCTGCCTGGCTATGCTGGATTGTGATTGAGTTTGTGCCCGCGGCTGCTCGGTCGTGCTAACTACGCATAAATATTTTCTCTATGCGTATTAAAAGGCATAAAACAATAAACATTGTTAATTTCAGAGCAGTTACAGTTTGCAGGCACTGTTGATGAGCATTTGCCTATTAAAGGGGACCGCTTGAGTTGGCAAAATGCTTGCAACAGGCGGGGGCAAAGAAAACATTAATCTTGTACGAGATATATTATTGGATTTGGATCTTGACTTAGATCTGAGAATAGCACAGATAATGACACTTAATTGTTCTTTTTTGTGATTGTTTACTTTGTTTGTTAAATATAACAAACTAAAAATAAAAGTCAATTATAATTAGTGCTGAACAAAACTAAAGACTTAGGCAACGAACTTGTGAAATGCAATTTTAGATTATAATTTTAATTATTTAATTATCCTATGAGTTTATTTGCCAAGATTTGTGTGGTGCATAGAAGAAGTTAACTACGATTCCATATGGTATATATATTCTTGAGCAGTATCAGTACACGAGCCGAGCTTATATTGAAATTAAAAAAAAATGAATAAGCGTATTTTTCATAAGAACATTGAAATATTTAAAAGCCTAGCGTAATTGAATGTCTTCAGAAGATCGATGCATACATAATTATATAATATATATACATATATGTATATAAATATTATATCTATTTTCTTTGGTTTATGTTTGTAGTATACAAATATTTATGATTCAATTCAGAGATTCTATTAGTCCAGCAGTCTGACTTGGTTCAGTTCAATTAAGTTTAGTTTGGAATTTAGTTTTATGACCCACATGTGCTGCCTGACCATTTACCAAGCATGTGTGTGTGTATATTGCACGAAGAGGTATTAAATTAAGTCAAGATTGAGACCATAACAACAACAAGAGCAAGAACGATCGTAAAGCAGGGCACTATGCCCGTCAATAACAAGTGTATTTGTGGCTTCGGTGCGGCAAAGCATTTTGTCTGCATTTGCATTTGTGGCCACATCGAGACATCAAGCCCATAAACACTCGGTCTACATAATTTGATTGTTTTAATGGGAGCAGCATTCTTTATGGAGGCAAACTAGTCGCATACAGCATCGGCTCAATAGCGCGATAAATATAACGAAATGTTACCAATTTTTATTTTCCGATTTCGATTGAAAAACATATTTGTATTTAATTTTGTTTATGGCATCGCGTGCGGGTTAATGAACGCGCTGTGAGATCAGTTTCTCGCTGTCTGATTTGCAGTTTTATGATGGGCCATAAAACGGGCCAAACAATGGCCAAAAAGCACACACAGACCATGGCAATAATTGCTAAATGCTTTTGGCTACTCCCGAAAAATGACTAAAACCAAAAAAATTAAACACGCTCCTTATAGCTAGATCTGAAGCTGCTGCCCGAAGCTTCCGGTTCTCGCGAATCTATTAATATCCCATATAAATTTGTGAAAGATGTTACTGGGCGCAGCCTCATAAACCGCAATGGCTAGCACAAACAAACGTGGGGCAGGTAAGGCAGGTGGTGCCGCACACACACAGACACACAAAGTCGAGATTAGAAGACACAGCCACATGACAAGCTGCAGCCCATTCGGATTCGGATTCAGATTCCAGTCCAGCTACAGCTTCAAGTTCAGTTCGGCGGGCAATCTGTAATCTGTGTGAGCGTCATTTCATATTTTCTTACACTTTGGAAATTGGAGCACTTGACGTCTTGACGGACGCTGTTTTCCGATAAGATATGATAAATAATATAATAAATGCCGCTAATTAATGGCACTTTAATATGAAAAGATCCAATGCAATGCTAAATATAGGCAGATCAACTGTTTGCTGCTGCTTCCCTGAGAACCTGTGTGCTGGCCATTCTGCTTCTTTTTACAGACAACTCTGCCATTTTCATTGCAGGCTAATTACGAGAAAATTTCAATAACAGGGCGCCTTTCTTGCTAATGGTAATGTGTGACTGGCCGAATTCCAATATTTAACTATTATGCATGAAGAGGTTCGGAAGTTCTCTTATTATGCTGATTACCATCGAAAATTTATCAAGAAAAATATTTATTTATTAGTCAACATGAGCCATACTGAGGCGCGTAATTGATATTGATATCAAGATAAATATGAATTAATTTCATAGAAAAGCTCGATAAATCGCTATTAGAGACATCTACCAAAGCATTTTATCGATAAGCAGTTCATCAATAAGAATCGATAAGTCGGAGTCGTATGCTAATTTTATAATTACAATGATTAAATATCAAATACATCTATATCGATCGATTAACTCACAATTAGAATACCGATAACTCCTACTAGCGAATATAGATTACATGGCAAAGGTTAATTGACTAGTCTTTCAAGTTTTCCAAGGTTAATTACTAATTTGTTATATAAAGTTTTACAGTTCCACATATATCGATACTTATCGATAACATGAAAAATCAAAAATATTATCTAAATATAGCAGCTGACCGAACAAATTGACCGCGTTTTGTGCACTTGGCTTTGAAAGCGAAATTTATGGTGAAATTTTTCAAATGAAAATGGAAAACAGTTTCGAGCTTTGCTGGCCAGCTGAAGCGTTTAGGTGTTGGGCCGTTTGCGTTCACTTGCATTTTCGCACTATTTCTTGCAGAAAATCTCAGGCGAACTTCACGCTTTCTGAAAGCCGTCCGTCTGCATGTCTGCTTGTTTTTTGCTGCTCGGCTGGCCATCAACAGAGTCTCAGTTTATAGACGATATGCACATATGTACGCCGCAGATTTGCATCTAAATGAGCTCAATTAATATGCAAACAATTAAAACGTTACTGCTTATGGCTAATGCCACGAGTCCAATGCGACTGTCTCGAATGTATCGTGTACGGCAATTAGAAAGCCATTAGAAATAACTTATTAACAACCGCAGCCCCCACAAGACTGAGCACCACCCCTCACTACCCCCTCGCTGCCCAGCACTGTCGCGGGCCACTTCAGTTAGCAGGCGAGCTGGGCATGCTCCATCTCGCACATTTCATAAATTACTCAACATTTAATTAAACACGCTCTAAAGCGCTACTTACCACCTACTTAGCCGCCGGTTTTAGACAACAATTTTGCATAATTTGAAGTTAAATCATGAACACACAACAGCAACAACAACAACAATAACTGCAGCAACAACAACGACATTAACAGACGACAAGTTGATTATCTGATTCGTTTCTTTGCCTTTTTTAATTGTACAAGTTGAAGTTTCTTTAATGCCCTTTAATAAGCGAGTATTTTGCGTGCGTTGAGGCACATGTAACGCATTCATTCGCTCAAGCGAAGACCAAGGTCTTCATAGTTGGACGTAGAAGACATTTCCGTAAATTATAAGAACTCATCTCCAGGTGCAGATATCTAAATGAAACTTTGTACAGGTGCTTCCTTTAGTTGTTGGTTTTATATCTGACAAAATCGATTATATGATTTCGATATCGATATTATGATTATATGATTTATATTATATGATTATGATTATGATATATGAATCAAACTTAAGAATTGTCCCTTCACTTTTATTTTGTACGAAATGTTATAGCATATATAGAAAAGATCGGTAAAGAATATAGCCCAATATATTGTACATTATCTTTAAGTATGGAAGGCATTTAAATCTACTCAATATCTTGCATATTATATGCTAGTATACAGGGCATTTAATTCTCCCAATAAACTTTTATTAAATGTCTAGCTTTTCGACAAAAAGAAACAAATAAAAAACCAACAAAAAATCGCTTGATAATTGAATACTTCTATGAAAACCCCCTTTAGATATTTTAGCAATACACTTTTTGTCCGCCTATTTGACGAGCTTTTGCTTAAGATCTGATGAACATATTTTATATCTGCCATAAATCTGTAAGGGTATTAAAATGCAGTCCAAAATAGTTATTTTTTCTTCTGCTTTTTATAAGCAGTTAATGAAATCCTAGGCACTCAAAACATGTGCAGTGCTCATGTTAAGCACTGTACGCGGCGCTCTGGGCCGCTTCCTGCCTGGCAGCTGGACAGAGGCGCCTCGGCTCCTTTGGCTGGCCCAAATTGCGATGGCCATGCTTTGGCCGCGTAGAAAAAGCGCCTGCTTTTCGTCTGATGTTCGTTTGATATCAGAGCAATGCCAGGCGAGTGTCCACTGTGCACAGCAGTCGAGAGTTGAGAATATTGTGGCTTTTCTTTCTTTGCTCCCTTTGTCAGTTTTGTACCAGCCCCCCTTTGGCTAATTAGTTGAGCCGTAAAGTTTATGCGCTTTTCGTTATTGTTTTTTCTTTTTTCTTTTTTTTTTTTTAATATCGTATATGTGTGTATACCATTCTGATGGGGTTATGGTTATATAGTATTTGTTGTAACTTTTATTTGCCATTAAGTAGATTTTATTAACGCGAACAGCCTTTACGAGCTTTTGTGCTCGTAAAAAGAAACAAAAAAAAAAACAACACAGTCCCGGGAAAAGTAATATTTTTTTTAATGCCCAAGTTATGAGACGGTCAGGCAAATCAAAGCCAAAACTACAATATGTCTAATTACATGTTTGTCATTTGATATTAGACAACGGCACAGTGCACAGTCCGAGTGAAGCCTGCCTGCCTGTTGGAGCCACACACACGCAACCAGTTGCTGTTGGGGCAACGCTTTGTGCGCTTTCTAATGTGTTTGGGTATTTGCAGTTCATCTAAACTTATGACAAGTGCAAATCAAACTGACATTTCCGCAGTAGCTGCAGCAGCAGCAGCCCAAGCCTCGATCTCGCAGAGGTAATTTGCGTATGGGCCGCCGTCAAGTGTCAAGCTTGGTCCCAACCAGAACCGGGGGTTCATGTCTAATGTGCTTCTCTTATATTTTTTTCTTTTAGATTTTCAACCCGGTTTGCAGTTTATTAAATTACATTTTCATGTCATGGCTGCGTTTCCAGGAAGGTACTCGGACCATCATTATTAAGTTATTAGAGGCCTGATGGACACGCAGCCTGGCCCCCATACCCTGTGCCCCCTCCCGGTACGTTATATCAATCAGGCATTCAAGCTGTCACATAATTGAGCCCAAGCTACTCTCACATGCGATGCACTGCCTTTCGCATGGTCTATTTATTAATTCACTTTTAATTGCTCGCTTTCTTTTTGATCCTGTGATCATCTGGCGATGAACGGGCAGTTTTCTTTTCTTTTCTTTTGGAGGGTGCCCGTAATGCTAGATTTCTATCGCTAGGAACATCACGAACACAAATACCATGTGAAACTAACAAATTTCTATTTTGGGCATTTCCACCATTTGCTACGGCCTGTTGAAACAAACAAAAATTCATAATTATACCCTGGATTTTACAAGAACATTTTTGAAAGAGGTGTTTGGATTGCTTTTAAAGGTAGATTCCAAAAATGAAAAAAAATGCCATATTGAAAAATTCATTTTATGATTTTATGGCGATAAACTAAAATTTTGTATAAATTCAAAACAATTTTCATTCAATTAGCTAGCAATTTCGGTCGATTTTCCTAACTGTTTGATTCATATTTTTTGTTCTTACTTATGAGTTTGAAAAGTTTTGATAAAAAAATATAACTGTGGTAAGAGGGTTCTGACAAAGCTGTGATACTGTACTTACAAGGAGTCACAAGCACACATTTCCAGTTCTATCCATCTTCTGTTTATGTGCACATTGTTTTGATCCCAGTGAGAAGAAGAGCTGGGAACTTACAATTTATCATGCTAGATGCTTGACTAAAAATTGTGATTGTTGAAATTAATTTAAAGTACTCTTTAACTCTGTTGAAATGCTAATTACACATATTTATTACTCCCCGCAGTCTGATATAAAGAATTTTCCTATCCGGTTTATCTTTGTTTTATTTTTTTTTATTTCTGTAAATAACCAACTTGTGTGCAGGGTGTATGCCAGTGCAGCATGCCCGTTTAAAGTATTTTTACTTCTTTCATTTTCGTTTCTCTTTTTTTTTTTGTATTTTTTGCTTATCGCGCGAGAAAAATCTATAAAATTGCAGCAGCCGCCGCGCAGGGTTGTTTGTTGTTGTTTTTGTTTTTTTTTTTTTTTTTTTTTTTTTTGGGCCACTCGAATGTGCCGAATATGAAAAGTGTTAGTCATGGTCTTGTTAACTAAATTGTTGACCACGAATTCGCTGGCCAGCCGAGCCACAGTTGAGAATCGCCCTCCTCTCTCTCTCTCTTTCACACACACACGAAATCTTTCTTCTGTTCTTTGGCTGATCCCATGCGATCCAATCCAATTTCAATACAATAAAAACTTCAGTTTTGTATTTTATTTGTTCGATTTCTAAATGTGTGTGTGTGTGTGCGTGTATGTGAGTGTTACCAACAGTTTTAGAACATCAATATTTCAGACCAGCATAGGCCCCAGCAGAATTCCCGACTCGGACTCGGACTTGGTCTCAGACCCTTTTAGCCTTTGAACCTTTTGGATGCGCAGGTAGTTGTGTTTTTGTTGCTGCCAGCCGGAGCTTCTTTTGTCTTCAGCTCGTTTAGTTTACGTGTGTATCCCGTCTTTTTACTTTACCCACCCCCGGTCTACGGGCATTTGCCTCGTTTGAATTTCAAATTGTGCTGCGGATGCTCGGACAATGCGTAAGCCGCTCTCAGAACCATCAACGTGATGAGCTTCATCAGTCCGCTAAGCGCGTTAGTGCAGTTATCAGTCTATTAGTTGCCATCTATCACGGGCCTAAGAAGAAGACATCTCACGCAAAGACCCACCAACTGTCCACCAAGTCGTTGCTGCGTGGGCAGGGATTAGTTGGTCACGTTTATGTTCTACGTTTATAGTCGCCCATTTCTCCCTGTTTTTCAAAAAGAAAAATAAGCCCGATTCCAGTACTTAATCATAGTTTGTCAAAGGATCGCTTGGTGAATCAATGCCATGTGTTGACATTTATTCATGTATTGAACCTAGCTCGAAGTTTGGCGAAGTAAATATTCCTCACTTTTCTGTATTTATTATGGTGTGTGTGTAGTAGAAGCTAAAAATGTAGTTTTTTTCTTATTAAAATGCAACAAGAAAGAATACGGGTGGATTGTGAGAGCTGAAGATTAAAAATACCTCATGGATATTTGACTAAGCAAATATATATGGGGCAAATATATGGAAAGAACTTTGAAGCTCGCTATTACTGAGTTTTATCATTCATTCCTCGGCAAACTATATGATAATGTAGTCCATAAATGTGCATCTTGCAACATTAAGACGGATCTGCTTAATTTTATGAAGAGATCTTTTAAACTTAGGGCAAGGGCAAAAATATATATTATTAATTTTATTTAAAGAATTTATTAAAAATTGTCTCCACTCTTTCCATTTGCAGCCCAAAATGGCGCCTGCTGCTGGACGTAGCGTAAGGCATACGCAGTCGGTGATATGCGATTAGCGTGATGTTGGGTTCTTATCACGCAGCAGCAACAACACGAAGAATACCCAAACGCAGACAAACTGAAACAGCGAAAGCAACTGAAAGCCCCAAAAAACCCAACGAGATGCATACGAGTTCGAGCTACAGCTCGAGTGCGAGTTCTGTGAACTCCAATAACAACAACAACATCATCATCTGCAGAAGCAGCAAAGCAAACACAAGCCGGCGTGCCACGCCCAGAACGCCTCAGAAAGATTACACAATGTTTCACAGATGCCGGCGACGCAACCGGCACAGCTCAAGGTCAAGTTTACCCGCCATCAACAGTAACAATAACATGAGCTGGACGCTGTTCTGGCTGCTCCTAGTCTCCTGCAGCCAACTGTTCGGCTGCAGTGCAGCGGGCAGCGCGGGGGACAAGCAGCAGCACGAACGTCGTCTGGAGGTCTTTGAGGGCGTGCCTATTGGCCATCAGATTGGCTATATTGGTGACTTTGACAGCATTGACAGCGGTCCGCCCTACATCATAGTCGCCAATCCCGGCGTCGAAACGGATCTGGCCATTGATCACATCTCAGGCGAAATACGCACCAAGGTACGGCTGGACAGGGAGACCCGTGCCTCCTATGGCCTGGTGGCCATACCCATGAGTGGGTTAAATGTGCGCGTTGTGGTCATCGTGCGGGATGAGAACGACAATGCGCCCACGTTCCCACAGCCCGCCATGCACATCGAGTTCCCGGAGAATACGCCGCGCGAGGTGAAGCGCACGCTGCTCCCAGCGCGAGATTTGGACCTAGAGCCGTACAACACGCAAAGGTATAATATTGTGTCCGGCAATGTGAACGACGCCTTTCGCCTATCCTCGCATCGGGAACGTGACGGCGTGCTCTACCTCGATCTGCAGATCAGCGGATTCTTGGACAGGGAAACAACGCCCGCGTATAGCCTGCTGATAGAAGCTCTGGACGGTGGCACCCCGCCGCTGCGTGGACTCATGACCGTCAACATAACCATACAGGATGTGAATGACAATCAGCCCATTTTCAATCAGAGTCGGTATTTTGCCACCGTGCCGGAGAACGCGACCGTGGGCACCAGTGTGCTGCAGGTTTATGCCTCCGATACGGATGCGGATGAGAATGGACTCGTGGAGTATGCGATCAATCGCAGGCAGAGCGACAAGGAGCAAATGTTTCGCATTGATGCGCGCACGGGCGCTGTGTACATCAATAAGCCGCTGGACTTTGAGACCAAGGAGCTGCACGAGCTGGTCGTCGTGGCCAAGGATCATGGCGAGCAGCCACTCGAGACGACTGCATTTGTGTCCATACGCGTTACGGATGTCAATGACAATCAGCCCACAATAAATGTTATATTCCTCAGCGAGGATGCCTCGCCCAAAATCTCGGAATCGGCACAGCCGGGCGAGTTCGTGGCACGCATTTCCGTGCACGACCCCGACTCCAAGACGGAATACGCCAACGTGAATGTCTCGCTGAAAGGCGGCGATGGCCACTTCGCACTGACCACGCGCGACAATAGCATCTACTTGGTCATAGTCAATCTTCCGCTGGACCGCGAGGCAACCTCCAATTACACGCTGAGCGTGGTGGCCACGGACAAGGGCACGCCGCCGTTGCATGCCAGCAAGTCGATCTTTCTGCGCGTCACCGACGTCAACGACAATGCGCCCGAGTTCGAACAGGATGTGTACCATGCGAATGTCATGGAGGTGGCCGATCCGGGCACCTCGGTGCTGCAAGTGCTGGCCCGCGATCGGGACGAGGGCACCAATGCAGCCTTGAGCTACGCCCTGGCCGATACGCCCGACACTCATGCTCAATGGTTTCAGATTGATGCCCAGACTGGGCTGATTACCACCCGTTCGCACATCGACTGCGAGACGGAGCCGGTGCCACAGCTGACGATCATTGCACGGGATGGCGGCCAACCCCCACTCAGCTCCACGGCCACGGTGCTGGTCACCATACACGATGTCAATGATAACGAACCGATCTTCGATCAGAGTTTTTACAATGTGTCCGTCGCCGAGAACGAGCCCGTGGGCAGGTGTATACTCAAGGTGAGTCACTTCCCCATCTACCAAGGGTACCAGATGTCTGTATCTGGATATCCATCCATCTATTTGCCTATCTACCAGCTTTTGTTTGACCCATTTTGTTTATTTTGTTTTTGTTTTTGGCTCGCCTCGCCTAGTGACTCGAATCATACAACGAGCGTCACTTATGAATTTTCTACGTACTTGAAACCCAAACTAATCTCATGCATCAATTACCCTCAGTCTCACACAGGCACAGTCTCAGTCCGAGTAAAACTTTCTGACCGATCACTCAGACATCGACATCCGTAGGGAATTGCGGCGGCTGTCGTTTCGGCTACTTGCCGCATACCGCATGCCGCTCGCCTTTTGGCTCGTAGACACATTTGTGCACAGCTTGTTATGCGCATACCCTTGTTTCAGGTTAGAGGCCTATGCGCTTTTTGACCAAGTTTGTAGTAATTAAACAAAACTCAACTAAAAAATTGCAGATGGGAGAGGAAGTGTGAAGAATTTAAAGGCTTAGAGATTAAAATCCAAATGAATTCATTCGATAAACGATAAGCTTTGCAATCGAAATCGATCGATATTTCTTTATATACAAGGTCCAAATATTGATGTTGTGTGCCTCTGATGCGCTCTAAAATTAATTTTTCAATAATTGCAATCGAAATCTCGGAGCATAACGATATTATCAGTAAACGATAAGCCAAAATCAATACTAATGACATTTGTAATATCGATAGTTGTAATTTTTCTTGATTGTCAACTTATACGATTTTGCTCACTTGACAACTAGTGTATATCCGTTTCGGTGCTCACCTGTTGGCATTTCCTCCTTGTTAACTGTTTTAAGCAGTCGAATTCCAAATCGTTTCCAGCTTGTTCGGGTCCCCGCAACCCCCTTGGCGTTACCCCGTTGCCATCCGCACCCGAAGCAATGCAGGCTTCTCACTCTTTTGTAGTTAATCCATTCATCATCGGGTAATTACATTTTTATAACATTTTTCCCCGCTCACAATACAAATGGGCAACCAAAAAGAAACAACTGCAACAACAACAACAAGAACAACAACAGCATGAAACCGGGGCCTAAAACCGTTTCTAGCGCTTAACGAAGGCATTTTGTTCGCTGTTGTTGGTCGGCTCTCAGTCTCCGTCTCCACCTCCATTGCCGTCTCCATCTCCGTTCCAGCCTCAAACTCTTGTCTTTCTATCACCCATTTTTTTTCTTTCACAAACACACACATACATAGACATACACGACGTCGACAAGATTTTGTTCGGACTATCAAATGTGACCTCTCTTGTCTCTTGTCTCTCGCTGTGCGCCAGCCGCAAATAGCAGAAAAAAGCCCATGAAATGAAAAAAAAAAAAACAACTAAAATGTTGCTTAGATTCCAAAAAAAAAAACTTCTCAGCAATTTAATAACACGAGTTTCAACTCAACGCAACAACAAAAACAATTTATAAATACGGGTAACATATAAAAAAAATTGATTACCGTTTTTGTACAACATTTTTAGTGTTGTAAAGCGCTTTGTAAATGTAAGCTTGAGAATTTGTCTCCAATTTTATGTATTATCAGGAATCCCATTAAGTGTAATATCTTAAATCGGGTCAGTTGACCAAAAAATTGTACAAAATCTTTTTATAAATGAAAATGAGTTTTTAATGTTGTGCAGCGCCTCTAAATAGTATTTACTAGGCGGCCCTATTAGTTGGTAAATCTTTTTACCACGAATACATACTCTTTTTACAAATATAATTATCTTAGCCGTTTATTCGTCAACATTTTTCAGTGTTGCAAAGCGCTTCGTAAGTGTATATAAGTTCCACTTGTTAACTAAATTCATATTTTTTTGATTCCTGGTCTTAGTAAAAATCGCGAGTTTAGCTTTTTATAAACAATTACAGGGCACTCTCGTAGACATTTCCGCCAATCAAATCAAATCAAATCAAATCAAATCAAATCAAATCAAATCGTATCGCTGCAAAGAAAGAGAAACAGCAAATGCGAGAGTTGAACGAAATTAAAGGCTGCGATAGTCCAAAACAACAACAATTTGAAATAACAACGCCAATTCTGCGCCGGCAACAACAAAATTTTCGATGAAATCTGAAAAAAGTCACGTTTCCTTAATTACAATGAAAGAAAATCAGTTGCGTCTCGGTGTTGCCGCCGTTCCCAACCCTACCTCGCTGAGCCCTTGAAGCAATATATAAACCTCAGACACAGAAAGAAATACAAAATACGAAATACAAAACGCATAATTGGCTCACGCAAAAATCAAGAAAAAATACAAAATAATAATAACAACAACAGAAACAAAAAAAAATAAATAAATAAAAATTCAGTCTGCGATACACATCTAGAGTTTTGGGAAAGAGATAGCCATATCGCTGGATCGTAGAGCGCGGGGTTCCATAATCATAAAAGCGGCGGTCACAAGAAGAAAAAAAAAATCGAAAACAAAAACTAAATTCGGTGCTCGGGTTACTTCTTTTTCATATTGAAGCCAATCTGTGGTTGTGAACACAATAAAAAGTCGAAGCTACCTCAAAAACAAAAAAAAAACGCAAATCGGAATTTGGAGTATAATAAAAAAAAAAAAAAAAAACAAAAAACAGAATAAGTAAAAAGGGCAACAAGCTGTTCCAAAGGGCCCGAGAGACAAAAACGTCGACGAACTAAACATTTTTTATGGCGCAAACCAGAAGAAAATTAAAAAACCCAAAAAGAGAAAAAAGTTCGAAATATATTTAATACGAGAGAGTTGGAGAACATTCAAACAGGCCAGCTCAAAAGCCAACAAACAAACATACAATAAACCGAACAATTCTGAAACAAAAAGCCAAATATTTGACTAAAACAAACCGGGCAACGGGGCCCAGTTTTCTGGGCCCCAAAACCCCAAGCCAAATAACTGCGCTGCTCGGCCGAGTGAGAACAACAAATACTTGCCAGCTGCTCGTCATTGTTTGCTCGACTTTTGGCACTGCACGTGGGCGCAAGGCGCGGTCAGCGGAGCGGAGCGGGGCGTGGCGACTCGCTGCGTTCCATCGATTGGCGGGCAGGCAGCCAGGCAGACCGGCAGCGCAGCTGCGAATGGAATTCGCCATCATCATCGAGGATAATTGCAGCTTCATCAGCCGCAGACGAAGCTGACTTTAATTTCGTTCCTTCCACAACGCAAAACAGGCGGGTTTCTCCAGAGCGAAGTGCAAAGAAATATGCCAGAGCAGCGCTGCGAAAGTTAACAGAGCACAACATTTTCAGCACCCTGAGAGTTTCCCAGGGAAAGTTCTGCTATTATAATTATTATTTCATATCGCTTGTCATTAATGTTTATAATTTAGCCTAAGCAGTGGCAAAGATATCAGAATACTTGTGCCCAAAACTGGTATTCAAATTCGCAGCAAAAAGCTCAAAGAGATGTCAACTATTTTTACTTCCTTTGTAACAACATTTATCGAGGGTTCGAACCCTTTACCTAACTATTTAATAAGTTGTACATATTTAAATGAGAAGCCCTGCAATCTAAACTTTACTATTTTTTGTCTTTAGCCTATTTCAAAGATATATGCAAAAAGAAAAAGAAATAAGTTCTATATTCGTAATGAACTCGCTTGTAAATAGCGAAATGCACAATTTTGATGGACATAAATACTCTAGCTTAGCTGTAAATTTATAATTTTTTGTTTTTATATTATTGAGAGTTGAAAGCTCGAAAGTCTCGGCCAGTTCTTGTGGCAGCTACTTGATCATAATGCAAATTGTTAAACCAAATGAAATGCCACAAATTGATGGCAAATGCCACGTACTTGTTCCAAATTCAGTGCCCTACAAACTCTGAAATGTTGGCCGACTCAGTTTCGCCCTCCACACAGACAGACAGACAGATGGACGTACAGACAGACGGAGCGCGTCCGTCCGTTGCCGTTCCCATCTAGGCCACACCTATTTCGCCAGCGAGTGTATCATTTTCGAGCGGGAGCGGAAATGCTATTTAATTAGAGGCGATCAAATGCCGCCTAACTCCGACTCCAATTCCAAGTCCGACTGCGACCTCGAGATGGACTATTACTTGGCCTGGTAGCCATCTAATGGCTGACCAAATTACACTTTAATTCGGGCCGCAAGACGAAAGACTTAGGCAACAAACTTACCTCAGCTATGCCAGCATTAATATTGAAATGAAAAAAAAAAAGAAAAAATTAAAAACTCATTATGCAAATTGCCAGCGAGAGTTGAGTCCAAGCTGTGCACAATACGAATTGGAGCGCCAACTGTGAAGCGTCCTCTACGTTCTGGTCCTCCGCTTGCCGCCGCCGCCGTCGGCCCCCAATCGCCGCCGCAGCCGCCCTCGCAGCAGTCAGTTGATTTCTAAGACAACATAATTTGTTCAGCGTGTTGTTGTCATTTCGGATTTGTTGTTGCTGTTGTTGCTGCAGTTACATACTAAATTACATGCAATTACATGTTGCAGCTAGTTGACTGGCAATTGGCTGGCACCCCTTACTCCCCTCCCCCCGTACCCCTCACCCACTCCGGCGACGACCGGACAGCACGCGGAGCAGATTGGCAGCCAGAGTTGTTGCTGCAGCAGCCGGCGCTGAAATTAGTTGCATTTGTTGCCGCTGCTGATGCTGTTGTTGTTGTTGTTGTTGTTGTAATTTCGCATTGTTTGGCTAATCTACGTAAATCTCATTTTGGAGGCTCCCACAATTACAAAAGTGCCTGCTGCTTGGCGCAGGGGAGGGGTAGAGGGCGGGCGGTATTAGTTGGGCTCTAGCTGCGAATTGCGGCCTGCCCATTTGGCAAGTTATGTGGCCGCTTCTCTTCTAATGCCATTGAACTGGTTTGCGCCGAGGGTGCAAGTGGCAGGTTTGCCGCGCCCCCTTTGACAGCCCCCCGCACAGCTGCCGCCGCCCCTGCGGCTTCACTTGCTGCACATGCGTTGGCTGTGCACCAATTTTTCTTTGTCTCTTGCATCAATTCACTTTTTTCTAAACATGGACT